ATAACATCGTATATACCGCTTGCTTTTTGTGCCAATTCAACCAACTCATTTTTCTTCTTCCCAGCACATGGTATACGACGATCAGTTAAATATTTTTTTAAATCGGGGACTCGCAGACGACTAAAGTCACAGAAGACCGCCATGCAAATAAGCCTCTCAACGTTCAACGTTCTCCGCTGGTGGCGCCATTATTGCGATGTCGACACCGGAAGTGAGAAATGCGTCTTTCCAGGTTATCCGCCGAGGGCGCACTTTATTGTGAAACGCGAGAATTACTGGCATGACACATTCAAGTACTAGTATTATCTGTGTAATTAATTTATATAATGAGTATTACTATTATCTCTGAGTGGTGGCGACAACAAGGGAGAAAATATTATCTCTGAGTTGAACGAAGGAGATAATATTATCCCCAATTTGTTCCCAAGAAAAGAAAAGATAATATTATCCCTTAGAGGCCCCGACATCAAAGCATAATATTCTTCAAGTTTCCAAAGAACGAAGGAGATAATATTATCCTTGAGTGGTCGCAGTAACAGAGATAGTAATACGAGCTATGTAGTGATTTTAAAAATGTTGGCAATTTTGGTCAAATTGTGCTGTTTTGATTATTATTGATTTTTTCTGCTTATAAAGTGAAATATTCATGGTCATAATAATTTCATGTTGCTAGAAAACACTGTAACTTTTTTAAAACCCATGTCACCAAGCAAATTGACGAGATTTGAGAACTTACCATGCATTAAAAACATAACACGCACGTTTTTAAATTTTTTTTAGATGACTGTCTTGGTGGGTCTAATTTCGTTTTTGATACTTAACGACCTAAACCCATGATAATAATGAGCGTACGGGGAAAGGAACATACATTTCATTCGAGCTTAAAATACTACAATACTCTTTCAAAGGGTACGTTACCTTGGCGTGGCCATGTTTACCAGGCTTAGCCGTAGATATATCCACGATCTTACACGGCCTACTATTCAAGATTACATGTCCACCTTTACGCAGTGAGGAACATCGAGCTGGGTAAGTATGGGAGGCACTGGCATCTGCTCCAGTAAACTCATCATGACTCATAAAATAAAACACGAAACGTTCCAAGAAACTGTAAACGTAAAAAGAAATGTATTTTTAAATACATATTAAGTACCAACAGTAATATTTATTGTTTTCGGTCAGATATTTAATAATCGGCTGGGCCGTACTGTTACACAAAACTGATTCATCCAATCACAGTGCAATAACCTACGGTATTTTCCGCTTCGTGCGAGATCTCGCGAGACTGTTGAATTGGCCTAGCAACCGGTTGCAGAAATTTATTTGTATAAGTGTAACGCATTTCCAACTGGAGAACACCGTTACCGTGGCGAGAATAATTCCCAAAGTATTGCTACGCCAAGTAATATACATGAACATATAAATAATGTGCGTATGTGGCATACGTGACATAAAGAGTAAGTCGCTTTGTCATAATACAACTTCAACGATAATTATTAGTGCATATTTTATAATATCGCTAGGGTAGTATTTTACAAGCAACCGATATCAGTGGTTATTTGTTATTATTAAATTTTAAGATTACAGATGTAATTGCCAATTGTATTGTTATTATTAAATTGAAACGAAACATAGTAATTTAGTTTTCACGATGTACTTTTCCAATGAGTAAACTACAACGCACTTGCATATTGCGACAATCTTGCACGTTTTTTTATACATACATACATACTGGAAAGTATAATAAAATCAAACTTCAAACTCACCAATTGTGTGCCCGTTATTTTCTATAACGAACACCAATGACGCAGTCTGGCTTTATTCCGTCTTACATCACTTATATACAAGATGTATTGCGCTCTGTGGTGCAACTAACCACGTGACTCATTATTCAGATTTGAAGTTGGCTTGCATCCAAGATACGAGTACTGCACATGATTACGGTTACTAAAAAAGATTATTATTGAATAAAAAAAAAACTGTGGTCGTCAAACAAACCATAAACACGAACCTGGCATTCGGTTGGGCACAGATCTAGAAGCAGTACCTACACACGAATTGGTGACGTCATAAAATACATGACCTTCAATCGGTCATTATTATTATTATTATTATTATTATTATTATTTATTTACCGGTTTATTCGGTGTTATTTGCTTACTTACT